CTCCTCCTCCTCCTGCTCCTCCTCCTCCTCCTCTTCCTCCTCATGCTGCTCTGAGCCTCTTTTCTACTAAGGCCCGTCTAATTCTTGCCTCTACCTCTCAAGTGCTGGGAATTCAGGCATGCGTCCTAACTCCACTCTTTTTGCTCTTCTGAGATACTCTAAAGGAACACTGGTTCTGTTTGTCTTTGAGGAGAAGACCTCCTTTACTTTCGAAAGGCGTGTATGAAGCCCAAGGGACTGTCTGAGGTACTGTGGACCCTTTAGGGTGGGAGGCACAGCTGGATCATGGATTATAGCCTAGCCCCACTCCCAGCATGCTCTCTGCTCCTGATCCGCCAAGATGTGAAGGAGTAATACCACAAGTGCCTGCCATCGTGAACCAAGCTGCTCCAGTCTCCGTGGCTGTGATAGACTCTACCTGGTGAACTTCAAGCCAAAATAAACCTCCTCGCTCTTAATTTGCTCTGCAGATATTCTGTTACAACAGGAAAGTGATGAATCCAAACACATTCACTCGGGACTCCACCCCATGCTTATGGTTTGCCTCCTAATGGAATCGCCTTGAGTTTGGGGCAGCAACGGGGAGGCACACTGAGGCAGATTGTCCTTTGAGGTAAGATGTCTATTAGAAGGACTATAAAGAGCATAGACAGACAGACAGACAGACAGACAGACAGACAGAAGAAGCACATCGGGGACTCTGATGAGAGTTCAGGCCCAGGAGTCAGAGTCTCGTGTTCTTTTCTTATAGGTCTCAGAGGAAAGAGGTGGGCTTCATCTCAGGACCCCGGCCATGGTGTCTCTGATTCCCAGGCTTCTAGGCAAGTGAAGAATCCCGGGGAAGGAGTGTGTGATTTTGAGGCTGTGAGAGGGTGGGACACATCTACTTGAGGTGTACCCATGATATGACTGGGGAGATATGTGGGGTGAGGGGACATGTCACAACCTTCAGAGTCTGGGGAGTCTGTTGATGGACTCACGGACAGACTCTGGGGGTGTCTGTCTATCCCGAGCATCCGGGATCCCAGAATTAACGACTGAGAACGGAGACAGAGAGCCTGCACATGGACCAAACTTGAGCAGTGTCTGGTCTGGGAATTTGACAGTAATTATCGCCTGGGACATTTCATTCAGCAAGGTGTAGGCATGCCATCGTGAAACAGGAATTTCACAGAGTGTGAGGGGCCTGGAACTAGACACTTTTAGCCATGAGAAAAGAACTCTTTCAAGTTCACACATCACTGCTCCCCTGTTCCTGACCATATGATCTGGGCAAATCATTCAGTCTCACCAAACCTTGGTTTCTTTGTTTCCATAAAGTGGGAAAACATGATTTTGTTTTCTTTTTTCTTTTTCTACTATCTACAGCTCTAACGGCAGGAAGGAAGTGAAATTTGCTCTGTGCATGTTCCTATGGAGCTTTTGAAAAGTACAATACTTTCATTTACTTGTTAGTTATCACAATAATATGCTAACCTTGTTTTATCTTTGAGTAGTGTGAATTTAGAAGTGTCTCAGGATGCTCAGATAACACACAAAGCCAAAATTCTAATCCACATTTATTGACCTCAAAA